AGAGAGAGAGAGAGAGAGAGAGAGAGAGAGAGAGAGAGAGAGAGAGAGAGATAGAGATAGAGAGAGTTGTTATGTTTCGGTGTCGGTATGTGTGTGTGTGAACAAACTGGAAGGAAACTGGAGACGTATCCTTGTCTCACATGGGCGACCTTGGCTATATTTGTGTTCCTAAATATGCGAGGCAGCGTGGTGGAATCACGCTCTCGTCAAAATAATCAAAGTGAAGAAACTTGCATTTTTCAGCACGTTTGTGAATTTGTATCAATTTTTTGTTTTTTTGGCCCCTTTCATGCCCATTAAAAAACTCATTTCCGTGTGGATTTTTCTGGAAAATGATTAAAGGCACAAACAATGTAAATTTTCAGTTATCAAGGGCACTTAAGCTAAGGAAATAACTAATTTTGACGGCCATTTTCTCACTTATTTTACCTCTGAAAACAGGTGACCCCCACCTCCTTTATGCGCAGATATATCGACGTGTATTCAAGATACATTTATATTTTTTCCACCCAAATAAAAACAAATGAACAAGCTTTAAGATGATACCAATAACTCTACATGCCCAAAAATTGACGAGAGCCTGATTCCACCGCGCTGCCTCACATTTGTGTTCCTAAAAAATACCCTGTGTTCTGACCCCCAAACTGCTATGGTGTGTGGAGATGGCTCAGAATTGTGTGCTTATTAGACTTCTCTTTTTAGCGTTTTTAACCCTGTCCGCACGACGTGTTTTACCATCGTATCCATACGACGTTGGGAACTCTGGGCCACCACTTAACCCTGTCCATACGTCGTGTTTTACCATCGTATCCATACGACGTGGAGAACTCTGTGCCACCACTTAACCCTGTCTATAAGTCGTGTTTTACCATCGTATCCATACGACGTGGGGAACTCTGTGCCACCACTTAGCCCTGTCCATACATCGTGTTTTTCCACCGTATCCATACGACGTGGAGAACTCTGTGCCACCACTTTCCAAAGAAGAAATTTACTCGTTAATCCGATCCGTACACTTTGCATAGCAGTCTGTCAAAATGACTTTTTGAGATATACTGAAAGTTTCAAAGAGATCTTCGTACAGGAAGTATTCTAATAAATGTGAAGAATACAACCCTGGAGGGTACAAAATGACCCCCGGGCGTACGGTTAGGGTTAAAGACACAGCGACCTGCAGGCTTCTATGACATTATACAGGTTGTCATAACACGGGAGCAAAAACGTTCCGTCTCCATATCACATCATATCACATCATATCACATGTAGATCAACTCATTAAGCACAAAAAGTCAGCTATATGGCTTCACTTGATGCACACTTCATGTCTATAATATCCGGCAACGTTCAAAACTACAAAGTTCTATCTCCATTACGTATGGGAGGCAGCGTAGTGAAATCAGGCTCTCGTCCATTTTTGGGCATGTAGAGTTATTGATATTATCTTAAAGCTTGTTCACTTGTCTTTATTTGGATGAAAAAAATATCCATTTATCTTGAATACAAGTCGAGATATTTGGGAATGAAGGAGGTGGGGGTCACCTGTTTTTAGAGGTACAATTAGTGAGAAAATGGCGCCGAAGATTAGTTATTTCCTTAGCTAAAGAGTCCATGGTAACTGAAAATTTACATTTTTTGTGTGCCTTTAATCAACGTTTTTCAGAAAACCACACAGAAATGAGTTCTTTAATAGACATGAAAAGTGTTGAACCAAAAAACAAAAATGTTATTAAAATTCCTAAACCTGCGGAAAAGTCCAAGTTTGTTCACTTTGATTATTTTGACGAGAGCCTGATTCCACCACGCTGCCTCACATTTAGATCAACTCATTCAGCACAAAAAGCCGGGCTTCACTTGATGCACACTTCAAGTCTATAATATCCACGTTCAAAACTACAAAGTTCTATCTCCATTATATATAATAAAAAGGTTAAGATAATATCCTATCAGAATGGGACCCTATTGAAAAAATTAATAATATTATGTGGCGTTTCAAGGCTCTGCTGATCTTTTGCCAGCCAGCATGGGAAAGTTTTCTCCCCGCTTGGAATGCTTTGTATCTGTGGCCACGCTACACACATGTGAAACAGCGTGGTGGAATCAGGCTCTCGTCAAAATAATCAAAGTGAAGATACTGGCATTTTCCGCAGGTTCGTTAATTTTTATCAAATTTTTGTTGTTTTTTTTGTTCAACACCTTTCATGCCCATTAAAGAACTCATTTCTGTGTTGATTTTTCTGAAAAGCGTTGATTAAAGGGAAAAAAATGTTAATTTTCCGTTACCACGGACTCTTAAGTTAAGGAAATAAATACATTTTGAAGGCCATTTTCTCACTAATTTTACCTCTGAAAACAGGACCCCCACCTCCTTCTTTCGCAAATATCTCGACTTGTTTTCAAGATAAATGGATATTTTTTTCTTCCAAATAAAGACAAGTGAACAAGCTTTAAGATGATACCAATAACTCTACATGCCCAAAAATGGACGAGAGCCTGATTCCACCACGCTACACACAATGTGACAATGTGCCCTGTTCGCACGGGTTGCGATCCTATCTTTTTCAGAAGCAACAGAGCGTGACAACTGACAATCCACGTTGCTCTCTCACAGCATTGATTGCAAGGCTCAAATGTTAATGCTTAGCATTATATCGCCTCTGCCTTTCTGTATTTTCGAAAAATGTTGTTATTGTTGTTGCAGGTGTTGTTTGTTTGTTTGTTGTCGTTGTTGTTGTTGTTGTTGTTGTTGTTGTTGTTGTTATTGTTGTTGTTGTTGTTGTTGTTGTTATTGTTGTTGTTGTTGTTGTTGTTGTTATTGTTGTTGTTGTTGTTGTT